CAGCAGAGCCCATCGTGCCTGTCATGAGTTCAACCGTTTGGCTGAGTGAATGTATGCCAGGTTCTTTTGGTCCATGAATACCGTGAAGGGTTCCTTGGCTCCCTCTAGCTAGTGACACCATTCCTGGAGCGCCAGGACTATGGCCAGAAATTCACGGTTTCCCACGTCATAGCCTAGGCAGGTGTGTGAAAAGGGGCGAAAAGACGAAGGGGCGGAGTCTCTGGTCGACTGGAGATCGCTGGGATAGTATCGCCCCCACTCCTGAATCCGAAGCGTCAACCTCCACCACAAACAATAAATCAGGGTTCGTATGAGATTGTTGCGGTGGGCTACTGAATAATCTCTTATATTCCTTAAAGGCGATGTCAGTATTATCTGTCCACTTAAATGTGGTTTTGCTACAGGTTAACTTAGTTAAGGATGCTGCCTTTTGGCTATAATTTCTCATAAACCCTCGATAGAAATTAGCAAAACACAAAAATCATTGCAATTGTTTCCTGGTTGATGGTGTAGGCCATTCTACCACTGCCAGAGTAATCTTTGAAGTATTTTCCTGACATGTTGACGGTGTTCTTGCATGTTTCTGGAGAAAATTAAAATGTCAACCAGGTTAACAAAACAAAAAACGTTGAGCATATCATTTAACAATTCAGTTATTAATGCAGCTCTGGAAAATGGCTGCAGCTTTAGTCAACCCAAAGGACATTACCAAATATTCAAAGTGACCAACAGGAGTCTAGAATGCCATCTTCTATTCATCACCTTTCCCAATACGAATTAAATGGTACGCACTGCACAGGTCTAGTTTTGAGAACAAGGCAGCAGATTTTAAAGGTGCAAAGGGCAAGCCGAATTGGGGAAGTGGGTATTTATTCTTGATGGTTATATCATTTAGCCCCCGATAATACACACATGGCCTCAATGTCTTACCTTTTTTCAAGAAAGAAAAATGCCCGGCTTCTGGATCTTCAACCAGTAGTCCTAGCACATGAGCCGGAAGGACAAAAAAATCTCCTTTGTTCTACGTGATTCCCTGAAAGTCTTTGCTGAAGGGGACAAGTAATAAATTTGACCTCAGCCAGGAGACACTTGTCAACGTCTGTGACTCTATTCCGTAAGTTCTTTTCAATGGGCATGCTCAGGTTTCAATAACACATGGGTCAAGAAAACATTCATCAGTACCAGAGTCAATATGAGCCATAATCTTTACTTTCTTCACAGAGATAGACGCCTCTTCAGCTAATTCGAGTGTCTTCACCTTCGTAGCTTTGATCGACACCTGACAGAATGGAGGAGAACCTGGACTGATATTAGGTGTCTCTTCAGCACCTGATGTATTTCCATTGTTGTTCGATTTGCGGTGACCCAGCCGAGTAGACTTATGGGGTGATCATGATGGTCTAATCGGACAAGTAGTCACCTGATGACCCAGTTGACCACAATAAAAGCAACTCTGATCTGGGAATGTCGCCTCCTCTCCTCGGGGTGAAGTCGCCAGCCACCGAGCTGCATAGGTTCATTGGTGTGTGTGTCAGCTGCCTCAGGAGTAGAGCCGTTGGTGGATCGGGTCTTGTCAGGGTCCTTTGGCGGACACGAAGGTCTTGGAGGGTGTTCGGGACTATTCACATCCGTGTTCCCGGCCCAATAAGGATCTCCAGGTTAGTAGATTGGTCCCGGATTGCCAGCTCATCCTTCAGGGCAGTGCTAAGCCTACATCAGACGATACTACGTAACACACAGTCATCAAATCCGCTTTCGGCGGCCAGGATGTGAAACGCAAAGGAGTAGTCAGCTAACCTTTGCCTACCCTGAACACAGTCTAATAGTCATCCTACGGCCTCTCTTCCATGAACTGGGTGGTGGAATACCTGACGTAATTCAGAAATAAATTCAGCGAAGGAAGACCAGAGTTCGGGACGTGCGTTGGTCACTGCAAGTGCCTAAGACGCAGCTTGACCAGTCAACAGGCTCATAATGAAAGCAACCTTGGCACTATTCTGAGCGTAGATGTATGGTTAGTGGTTGAAAACTAGTGTGCACTGTGGCTGAATTGCCCACAAAGTCCAGGCTCACTACCATAGCGTGACGAATGGGGTAAGTTAGGTTCACAAAAAAACTGTTGGAGGAAAATGTACTCCAACAGCGGCAGTTAGAGAATCCAAATGGGTCGTCCTTCGGGTGCCCAACTGCTCCGCATGTGAACCCAATTCCTCAAACCGGTGAGCCAGCAGGGCAACCGCATCATAGAGTTGTGCTAATGCTTTCCCCTACTGTCCCACCACTTGTCATTGGCTGGCCAGAGCTGTCCTGATTTTATCTGGGTCTATGGGATGCATGGTCGGAGTATTCTGACACATTTAATGAACGAACTGAATGGTAACGGGATCGCACAAACGTAGACACAGATAAAATCTGCAACAAGAATATTTATTTAAGGACAAACGAATGACCGACAAAGTACAAACAGAAACCGCTGGCAACAAAGAGCCAGGGAAACGAAAGACAAATAGAAAGCGCCTGCAAAACGCAAGATAACAGCGAGATCCGAAAATACACAAAACAAAGTAGCAAGAGTCCAAAAAAGCTTCCTCAAAATCAGCAAATACCTCTCTAACAAAAATACTTTTTAAACAGGAATCAAAATGGACAAGAACGACTTTGAACATGAGCAAGAAGTTCCAGAAAATATCACTTGAGGCAGTACAGCAAGCAAGGTCAATAATCAGACAGAGACGTGGCACCTTGTCAGTCCAAAAATACATGACTGTTCTTGATTGGAAGCAAGACACAGGTGCACCACTGAAGAGGTATGTCCTCCACTGGTGCTCAAACAAAAAAACAGATAGAGCAAAACCATGACAGGGTCTATGTGTCGCACAGTACAATGTGATAAAATGGCACGCCAAAAATATGGGCCCTTTGGCATTATTTGGCTTCGGGCCCCCACATGACCTGGTCCTGTTTACAGGTATGCTTCAGGGGCATCCTGCTATGGTTTGAGGGGCAAGGTGACAATTCTGTACTTCAGCTGAAGTTCAATATTTCCAGCAATGTCTTTCACCTTCCTTGTTATAGTGCATCAGGAGAGGTGCATGTTTTCAAATGGCCCTACTTTATTTTCAACTCAGCTACTCAAGCCTCCAATTCATTTGTGTGCACTCCGTTATTGAAATTTGTGTCAAGTATCATCCTTTATTTTTCCTTTTTAACATGGGCTGAAATTTTTTTTGTGATATAACTGCATCACGTTTCCGCCTCCACGAGGACATGCGGATGCATTTAATTAAAATAAATGCAACATACTTCTTTTGCATGCTTTTATTTTTGAGATACATCAGGTTGGTATCATGCATTGACCTATCTGCTTAGTTGGCAAAGCCCAAGGTCCATCAGGGGTCCTCGGAAGCTCTTCAAGTGGTCCAACGCAAGGCATTAAAACACATATGTATAATCCAGAACCGGCCCGCGGACCGCAGCAAGCCGAGAGCACGCAGATCTTTTACACGCACCAAAACTACATTTCCCACAATGCAACGGTGACGCGCCAAGCAGTCGGCCGCTTTATTTAAATATTTATTAGTCTAGCAGTCGTTCCCATAACAGTGACATTAGCTTTCAGATACCCATCAAAAATGGCAAAACGGAAGGTGGACACTGAGAACCGGGGGTTTCAAACAAGGTGAGAGTCGAAGAACATGTTCATGGACGTAGCTGGAAAACCTGTGTGTCTTCTGTGTGGAGAAAGTGTGGCGCGATTGAAATAGTGTAATCTGAGACGACATCATGAAACGAAACATGCAAACAAGAACATGGACATGGAGGGGGAAGGGGGATTTCATTAAAAACGGTATACTTAAAGTTTGTGACGAAGTTTACCCCGAAAAAAGCAACTCTTTTTAAACGTGAGCATTAGCAGAAACACAATTGCAGTGTTTCTGTAAAGATACGGCAGTGCGTGCTGCGCAGTTTGACGGTTTCCTCCCCGACACAGTGGTCCCGCTGCGCATCCAGGCTGCTGAAACGTTGTCGAAAGTTTGGCAGCACATACGTGTGTGAACAACTATTTTCTTTGATGAAGCTGAACAAAACATCACACAGAAGTCGATTTACTGCTGAACACCCTCACTCAATTTTGACGATTTGCTCAGCTCAGAGCCTGACCCCAAATATTGATGAACTTGTAGAAAAGTTAAGACACCACCGAGTATGAGCCTCAGCCTCAAAGAAGTGAATATTACTTATAATATCCTGTGAAATCACATATTCAGAGTTTTTACTCAGTTCAAGTTTAAAAATTAAAGTACAATATTTGCTTTCGCTGCTTGTTACTTCTTGAAGAAAGTGTTGTTTTTGGTTTATACATTTTTGCACTTTATTTTATTGTATTTCAATCCAATTATGTTTTAAAAATATTTTATTCGAGTAAATGATCGAAAATTACTGCACTATTATTTGTTTTTCTTTTAAGTAAATTTAGCCTACTTTTTCTAAAAGAGAAAATATGGACTAGTGATAGTGCCTTGAATAATATCGGCTTCTTTCATTCATGTTATGGGTATTTTTATACAAAGGAAATTTTTTTGTGCCTGTTGAAAATTAAAGTTTACTGACATAGCCATAAAAAAATGTTGCTTTATTTATCTGACCGTATTGGAATGTATTTGTTAGGTTTTCAGTCAATTAAATTTGGTTCAATAAACAATATGTGGCCATTTTTAAAATTTTCAATGAACATTCGATCAGTCCGGCCCTCGGCTTGCAGCAAAAATTTTCATCTGGCCCTCCGTCCATTTGACTTTGACACCCCTGCATTAAAAGAACTTAATGTCCTCGGATGTCAGAGAAACAAGCCTGTAGTCATTCAGTCCCGATATTGCAGATTTCCGGTTAACTGATTTTATGCACTGTACTGGGAGGATTTTATACATGGCTACACTTGGCAACTCTTTCTTTTAGTAAAACAGAAGCAGATACTTACACATGTTGTTTTACTTTCGCAGATCCTTCATTTCTTACACTATGATGGTGATTGCTGTCAACTTTGTCGTCCCTCTGTCCATCATGTTTTACTGCTACTACAATGTGTCTGTCACAGTGAACAGATACAAAGCAAGCAACTCTCTGGATAACATTAATATTGACTGGTCGGATCAGATGGATGTAACAAAGGTAGAGCAGGACTTCACTTCTTTCTCTTCTCCAAATCTACTCAGTGTAATTGTAATAGTTTATAATAACAGTGCAGTTTGTTGGTACAAAATAGTGTTTAAGTATTCATTCATATTTAGCACTTAATTAACACTTTCCATATCAGCTAAATCTTGTACAGCCGATTCAGTCGTTAAATGGCACAAACAATAAAGGCATTACTTTCAAATGGGTCTAAATTGTGTTGTTGCTTTTGGCTTACAGATGTCCATTGTGATGATCCTAATGTTTCTTGTGGCCTGGTCTCCATACTCCATCGTGTGTCTCTGGGCATCCTTTGGTGATCCCAGAACAATCCCTGCACCCATGGCTATCATCGCCCCTCTCTTTGCGAAGTCCTCCACTTTTTACAACCCCTGCATTTATGTAATTGCGAACAAAAAGTAGGTGTTTCTTTGTCTTTTCTCCACCAGTCTCATTTTTTCTTTTTCAAAAAGGTGTTACAACAAGGAGGTTAACTTGACCTTTTTCATGTAGATTCCGAAGAGCCATTCTCGGAATGATCCAGTGTCAAACCAGACAAAGAATCACCATCAATAGTCAGGTTCCTATGACAACTTCTCAACAACATCTGGCCCAGTGAGATGACCTCTTCAGTGTCACAATTTTTCAATTCAGTGCATGTGTACAATTCAGTGCATAAATATATAAAAATGGCATAGAATAAATCACTATCAGTGTTTCTTTGCATTGTGTTTACTGTTTAAATTAGAGAGCACCTTTAATCTATCCTTTTGGCCCAAGTACCTGTTGTCATAGTGTCGACACACAAGCAGTACAATCCTGTCTCGAAAACCTGATTGCCTTGTTTACATTCACCATTTGTTTGGGGGTGGAAATCAGAGGAAAGGCTGACAGAAGTGCCCAAAAGCTGACAAAACTGTTAGGTCCGCTCTATTTTGCTTCTTCAGCCCCACCCTTGGTTTGTGTGTGTGTGTGTGTGTGTGTGTGTGTGTGTGTGTGTGTGTGTGTGTGTGTGTGTGTGTGTGTGTGTGTGTGAGAGAATGGAGCTGGAGCTTCAGGCCCCTGCTGGAGGGCTTGGACGCCTGTGTGTGATGATGACCGTGCGGTTCCTTTTGAACTGTACTCTTACCTTCGCTGCTGAACGTTGTAATCGTGTGGACTTAATCGACATTGGATGACAGTACAAATTTACTAGTTCTAGCGACTTTCTTCAACGCAGACGCGACAGGACGACCAGCGGGACTGGATTGATGTCAAGTCTGACAGACGCCGTAGGTGAAGGAAACAAGGTAAACAATAGCGGGGTTGCCGAGATCGGCTGCAGCTGGGCTAAGGTAAATACTAACCACTCAAATTCAACTTCTCCACCCTCTCTACATGTCATTAATTATGTTGAAGTTTATGAAAGATTAAAAGATGAACTCTTTCAAGTAACCGATTCATTTGGTAATGTAAGAGGAGCAGCGATAATGTAATACATCAACGCAGTGAAAAGTAGGGTCTTGTCAGATGTGATATGCTGCATAATAATTACATGATACAGGATATACTGTGGATAAAACATGTAAAATTATTATCAGATGAGCATCAAATGTAAAACCTGAGGTTAGTTTTGCTGGTTCTGTCTCAGTTTGTAAATGAGCCATCACACAGATTTAAAAGTCAAAACCAGGTGTCATTGGTAGCCCTTTGAAGTAATCAGTAATAAACATTAAAAAAATATCGACACATAGGTGAAAATGTATGTTTTATGATTGGTCACAATTGTGACCGGTGGGATAATATGCTGTAATCACACTTTAAAGCTCTGAAGGTGAACACAGGCTAAAACTGAGTGACCATGAAAACATGGGCCACCACCACTTCTTGGACCTGATTGTGATGCTGTATCTCGAGACCTGTTGGTCACGAAGGTCCACACCTCCCATGTGTTCATAATACTGTTTGATGCATTGTGATTGATGGACTTGGTTAAAGTCATGTCGCTCTTTATTCCATCGCTTGACCACTGTTTCAGTATATTGCTCCCCTGTACAGGGGGCTGTAGTCAGAACATTGTTGTCTTTCCAGTGGACCAACAGCTTTTCTGTTTGCATTAAAATTTCTGAGGTTCCTCGATGTAACTTCATGAATTCACTCTTTGGTTTGAAGGGAACATCAAAGAGTTGGTTTTCCCTCATCATGCCACAGCTCCCACAGCCCCTCTTTGTCATCTCATCAAGGAGTGATAGAGAAGTAAAGAGGTTGTCATGGTAGAATTTGAAACCTGGAGGCACCTCACCCTGCTCTGCAAGACCAAGAACAACACTTGGCCCTTGGCCTAAGCTAGTCTTTGGGAGGGGAGCATGTGGCGTACTCCATATGGCTCCATATGATGCATGTATCCACTGGATGATGCAAGGCTCCATATCTTATAGCCAAAACGGATTGGTTTACCTTTCATGAATTGCTTACATCCATTACGCCTACAGTATCCTGTCATGCTCTTATCCACTGACAAACATTCTGGATATGGCATGACTTTGTAAGACTTGTTCAGCTCAGTGAAGATTGGCCTAACCTTGAAAAATGGATCCTCAGTGATCTTTGTGTTGTCGACAAAATGTGTTGAGGCCATTATTTCATCAAATCGATTTCTCCGCATTGCATTGGAAATGCATAGATTATGTACATCAGTGTCACTTGACCAGTGCATGTGTCTTCGTGGAACAGTGCTGTAGACAGATGCCAAAAGAATCCCATAGAATGTGAGGAGCTCATCCATACCCATATTCAGTTGCCTGGCCTTGGTCTGGATGGAGAAGAGATTGGACATTTCAATGGTGATCTCTCGTAGAGTGGGTTGATACATTATTAAGAAAATGGTCATTGGATCGGGACAGCTTTGTTTGACACATTCTGCAGCATTTGCCCTGTATATCATGTGTTTTGGAAGACTGGGGGTGGCCGGTCTCTTTGATTGTTTGAACACTCTGTCTTTATTTTTAACGAACTCGGGCTCTGTCAGTGGAACTTCTGACTCAACCCTCTGCCAGGTAGAAGTCGCTAGAGATTCTTCAAATGGTCTATTCTGGCTTCGCAAGATCTTTGGAGGTTCTTTAGCCTTGGCTTGCAGTCGGCTAGAGGACCTTGGCAGTTTTTCTGTCTTGTCCCTTTGGAGGCTGGATGACAGAGGTTCTTCGGTCCTCTGGCAAATAGACACCGTTACAGGTTCTTTTGCCATGGCCTGCAGCCGGCAACAAAATCTTTGCGATTCTTTTGTTTGGACGTTATGGTGGCTGGAGGATGTCAGTTCTTCAACAGTGTAGGATGTTTGAGAAGGGGCACTTGTGATGGTAGGACTATCAGGACAAAAACTGTTCCTCTCGGCTGTTTTAGCTTTGGTCGCTGCATGAGGCTGATTGGCATTACTTGTAGAGGCCATACATCCTCCTTGATCAAAGGACGGTAAGGTAACACTGGTAGTTTGTGGGAGGGGGAGGTCATAATCAATATTGTCGCTGTCATCATCTCTGCCGACAAGTTCTGCATGTGCATTCAATATCCGTGCTGGCAAATGGTCCATCTCCCCCTCATAGTCCATATCAGATCCATCACAATCACAATCACTGAAAATGGCATCTTTTTCAGTTTGACGGATAACTGCAATGTTGCATGCCTTGTCTGGACCATCACTGAGACCCAAAATATCAAGCACTTCACTCAAAGTGAATGTAAAAGCGAGAAAATAGATTAGATTTAGACACAGCTAGCAATTTGTATGTATAGACCTATGTGTACACCTAGCTATGCTATCCCACAGGTCACTAATGTGACCACGCAAATGTTTGCTCATGCTGCAAGGATATAAAACATACTTGAGTAATTGCAAATGCATATATCACTACTATACAAACTAAAGATCATGTGTACAAAAAAATCATTGTTTTATATTTATTTGAACATACTTTACTGACCTTTTTTTGGAAGGAGTTGAGGAAGCCATCTTCCCCTCAAGGTGCAACCAGGAAGTAAACAGCTTTGGTCATGTGATAATTTATATCAAACATGCATACATTTAATCCAAACTATATATACTGAAATTATTTTGAAAGCTTACTCAGTAAAATTTTTAGAGCCCTGTAAATTAAATCATTGTTGTCCTTCACAAATGTGACCGGTGGGATTAAATGGGTTAATGGTAGCTATAATGAACTAATGTGTACAATTGTTAGGGTGGTTCTGTTTGTGACCAACAGGTGGCACTGTAGGTGGCACACCTGTTGGTCATTGTGTCATTAGTTAGTGTTTCTGTTAAAAGGAGTCCCTGTCCGACCTTTGCAGGTCGGGTCATTGTGTTTTGTCACTGTGTTTGTCTTTGTGTCCGCCTTAGTTTGTATTTTTTGTTAAATACATTTTGTTCAGTCCACCCTGCTCCTCCCTGCTTTTGGGGTCCAACATTACCACCTCGCAAAACCTTTAACAATAATGACTTCCCATTCAGCACATCCTTAGTTTTATATAGGATCCTTATGATTTTTGACATTTTACTTTTGACCTCATCATGTGACTTGGAAGATAATTTTCCTTCCATTATTACAGTACTCCAAGAAATTAATTTTCATACACTCTTTCTATTTCAGTTGAATTTACCACAATTTTAACTCGGTGTTTAGCTGGTCTAGTGCGAATAATAATTAACTGATTTTTTATTTTTTTTTAATTCGGTGACTGTGGTCAATTTTATTTAAAAATATGTGATCTATGAATGTGGTAGTATCAATTGTTACTCTAATGGGTTTCATAATTACTGGGAAAAGACTGTCACGGTTGATCTGTTTGGGACCAACAGGTGGCACTGTTGGGCTCTCCTCCTACAGTGGAACACCTGTTGGTCATCATGTCATGAGGTTTTCTGGTAAAAGGACTCCCGGCCCGGCCTCTCAGGGTCGGGTCATTGTTGCTGTCAGTGATTCTGTTGTTTAGCGTTTGTGCCTCACTGCCATGGCTTTGTTTGTATTGCTTTCACCTTGTTTTTGCGTCTGTCATGGGTTTTTGTTTGTTACTTTGGATTCTTGTTGTTTTCGGGACTTTCTTTGTTCTGGATTTAGTTTTCTCAGTGGTTTGTGAATACAGTTTGTCAAGTTCACCCTGCTGCTCCCTCCTGCCTGCTTTTTGGGGTCCTCCACCACCACGCTCGTAACAGACTGTTGCTTTACATGTATGTCCATTTGGATTTAACATGTCAATGTTAAAATCACCACACATTTGTGTATTTTTGTCATTTGAGTAGCTCAGCATATTGGCATACCTGGTGTCCTATAAATGCAATTTATGGTGACAATTGATGCTTTACAACAACGGTCCCCGACCCCCGGGCCGCAGAACACTACCGGTCCGTGGGTCATTTGGCACATAAAGAAAAAATAACTTACATTTCTTCCGTTTTATTCATTTTAGAATCTGAAAGATGTTACCGGATTCTCTGTTACATCCGTCTACAGCAGTGGTTCTTAACCTGGGTTCGATCGAACCGTAGGGGTTCAGTGATTCAGTCTCCGGGGTTCGACAGAGCCTCTGCCGTGGAGGTTCAGACACACCTAACTCAACATGTCAATTGGTTATGATATGTCCGCTTGGCCATCACTGGCTGGTTCATTTTGTACACAATTTAAAAAATATATACTTCATACTACAATTAATTGTGTTTAATTTCTTCAGTTTTTAATAAATGTGTTTTTTTATGTCTTGAATTTGTAAAAAAAAAAAATTATTTTTCACTAATGAAGGGTTCGGTGAATGTGCATATGGACTGTTTGGGTTTGGTACCTCTAACAAGGTTAAGAACCACTGGTCTACAGTATGACACTCTCGATGCAGGTCAAGGGGCGCTTCTTGGTCACGTGATAGGTTACCGCTAGAATGAAACCCAGCAGCGAGCAAAACGAGTAAAAAACAAACATCTTTGGAAAGTTCCTTTGGGGAGGGGAAAGGCTCAGCCAGGTGACAAAAAAGAAACCTACGACTTTCAAGAAAAAGAAGGCTCCATTTAATAGACAGTATCAGGAGTCCTACTTAAAATGCAGAATTAATTAGTGACGCGGAAATTCCAACACATCCCTTTAAAGATATTTCTAGATCTTCTATTTCCAAATGAGCTGACAATGATAAAACACCACAGTTTTCCTTGAAAAAAAAAAGATCCTGCTAATACTCAACACGCAACAATTTTATTATAGCCAGACTGTGTTACGTTTATTTGATGACATTAATTTCTGAGAATCATATAATTGCACATAACTCGCACAGGTAAAAAAAAAAATTATGAAAGTAAAAGATCCTGTAAAAGAAAAAAAAGTCAATTTGACACACCAAAGAAAAGTGTTGTGAACACTACCAAATTTGAATGATTGCAAAAGTGTGTAAAATAAGGCTTAAAAATCACGAAAAAAAAAAAATCACACGATTGTCTCCACTCTCAAACACTGTGAGCCCTTAACCGGAACTGAAAAAAAAGTTCCCAGAGGGTGCCTTGGTGGATGCAGAGGGGGAGAAAGCATTCCGTAGCTGAGTCGCATGGATGAACATGCAGCACCATGACCGAAATTTGTGTTCAGATAGGAGCACACACTTGAGGTGGACGTCGGCCATAACAGATCGATGGGAAAAAGTAGAGAAGGATCAACTACAGCATGGTAGATGGGAAAAAAGTGTGAGCAGGACACCCACAGCATGACAGAGTTGTCCACCGGAGCCATTAGGATGGAAGCTGAAGTGAGGTAGTCGGACTGCTGACGGAGGAAGCTTGCTCGATAGGTGGCACAAAAAAGGGGCGTAAACCTAGCCACTGAGAACTGATGAAAGTGAACCTGACTGCAGTCACCATATTGGGGTTAGTGGAGCTAAATGTTTGAGTGATCTGTTTGAATGAAGTGGTCTAAACTGCTATTTTTCCATCCACTCTGGTCGAACAGAGGTTCTTGAAGTCACGGAAAAATGAAAATGGGTGAGTCGATGTTGGTTCCGAATGTCTCGGCCAGGGGTGCCCAAGTCAGGTCCTCAAAATCCCCTTTGCTGCCTGGTTTAGAAGTCTCCCTCTTCCGACATACCTGATTCAAACAATGAGGATTGTTATCAGGTTTCTCAGAGCTTGCTGTTGAACTTACCATTTGAATCAGGCGTGTTGGAGGAGGGAGACACCCGGGCCAGGCTGGATTGTGGCCCTTGAGGACTGGACTTGGGCACCGCCGGTCCAGGCCATTGGCTTCAAAAAACAAAAGATGTTCACCATCTAGAAATGAGTGGGGTGGGTGCAGTACCACATGTTCCCAGCAGAGGGCGGTTGAGGTTAGTGTTTGGGTTCGGGTCAGTTGATAGAAGACAGGGTTCGAGAATCCGCCCAGATTGTCTGCCATTGAGAATCGCCGACAGGTTTTTGGGTCAGGGCTCAGACTAGGAGTGTCACATTGGAATGAATTATACACCGTTGGATGCAGCTTGACAAGACCTATCTCCACATACCTCCAGCCTCTATGTGGGTAACTCAGAGTCTTACCTAGGGTAAAAAAAAAAAAAAAAATGCCCTGCCTGTAGGAATGCATTGGATTTTCATGGGGTAAAAAAAAAAAAAAATGCCCTCCCTGTAGGAATGCATTGGATTTTCATGGGGTGTGCACGTTTTGGTTGTAACCGTAAAAAAACGTTCCCCCAGAACCATGTTAGGAGCGTGTTTTGGGTCATTTGGACTCATGCAATTTGAATGTGGATGGAATCAAATGTTAAGGTCCACCACCATTCCTCGCTCTGCAGCCAGGGCTTACTTGCTTACCACACCAAGACAAGTCCAAGACTTCCCAGGTTTCACAGTTGGCCACAATCAGCAATTAGCATTAAAATAAAGGGTGAAAAACTGTTACAGTAAATAGACACAATTTTCACTATGACATAGTTCTCAGTGGAAGCGTTTTGAGCAATTACCCAAATGTATTTAGAAAAAAAAGATCTGTGACTTCACTTTGCAGGGCCTAAATGTTGGTTTAAATCGAAAAGGAAGGGCAATAACAGTGCTCCCCAAGCACAAGTCCATGACTGGACACGAGATTGGATAAGCAAGATAATGTGTGTTTTTGTGCCACCTCTTAAAACTATAGCGAAAGCTCCTGCAAATTCAATATCATACTACATATTCTAAATTTGCTGAAGTAATCTGGATTTTTCTGAAGAAGTAAATTTTCATACAATGAAAATATGTTGACTTCCCTGAAGTGTGTTACATAGTTATTAGACATTGCTCTCTAGCCACACTCTGATCTCGTTCTCATTCGTCCGGATCCATTGAATGTTATTTCTGACAGTCTCCAGTGCCTGCTGCCTTGGCATCTCCCCAGCACCAGCATTGGGATTCAGACTGAAGAAGTGCTCCATCTGTAAGATCAACGCACAATGTGACATTAGATGAGGGTGAACATATTTTGATTTTCAAAAGAGTAGACAATCGGCCCGGCCTCAAGATACTTCAATGATACTCAAAGTTTACACAAAGATGCCTTATAACTAATATATTTAAGGTATGTCTCCTCAATTAGATATCTAGATAGCTAGCTAGATAGATAAAAACAATGCTTTTGTTAAAATAGTGTAGTCTTTTATTTTAGTGCCAAGACACAGCACAGAGCATCATACTAATCAAATCCGCAAATGTGGTGTATCATATTTTAAATAGGGTCTGTTCATTCACTGGCCACTATATTTTGTATGAATTCAACCAAAACTTAAGACATCATCTCATCCACAAGTGGGTAGGGTAGCCCAAACCTTTACTCAAATCAAAGTACTGTGATCTTAGAACAGGCATGTCCAGCTCTGGGCCTGGAGGGTCGCTGTCCTGCCTGTTTTTCCATATTTTGAAGTTGATTCTAAGTTTGACAGGGAGCCAGTGGAGCTGTCGGAGGATGGGGGTGATGTGATGAAAGGAGGGGGTTCTCGTGATGATCCGGGCTCAGGAATTCTGAACAGGTTGAAGTTTATGGAGGAATTTGTGATGGAAGTGAATTGCAATAGTCAATACGGGAGGTGACGGGACTGTGGACAAGGATAGCAGTGGTGTGAGGGGTTAGAAAGGGACGGAGATGATTAATATTACATAGGTGGAAATATGAGGACCGGGTCATGTTATTGATGTGGGAGTGGAAATATAGTGAGCTATTGAGGATGACATCCAGGCTTTTAACCTGAAGGGAAGGAGACACAGTGGAGCTATCAATTGTGAAGGAAAAACTGTCGGTTTTGTATAAGGTGGATTTGGTACAGATGAGATCTGTTTTATCACTGTTAATAGACCCTTCACCATAGGCATCACTCACACGCCCCTACACTGGTTTCACTCTTATCTCACTGGCCACTCTCAGTTCATCCAACTCAATTGCTTCACTTCACATTCCTGGTACCCCTCCTCTTCATTACCTACCTTCTCCTCCTGGCAATATTTTCCATAATTTTAGTATACACTTTCACTGCTTCGAAAATGACACCCAGCTCGACCTCTGCAGCAAACCCGACGCCTCCCTCCCACCGTCCTCCCTCTCACACTGCCTCTCAGATATCAAATCTTGGTTTACCCATAACTTCCTCAAGCTTAACATGTGCTGCAGTCGATGTGAATAAGTTTATACAACGCAACATACAATTTTACAGAAATTGTAAAAGTATTATTCCTGAATATTTATTTCACTTTGTTCAGTGGCATCAGTGCTATACATACACATATAGTTATTATTGTTTTCTTTGTATTTTTGCCCTCTATGGACAATAAAAGCGGTATTGTGCTATGACCAAAACATAAATATAAATCTATATAAATAAAACATGAATTGGAATATTTCATATCACACAAATTTATGCTTTGTCTTTGATTTAAAGATGACAATACGCAAAAATCTACAAAAATTGTAGAAATTGTAACATATGGGGTAACCCATGTGTTACGAAAATCGTAGAAATTGTAACACAAGGGGTAATTACGGAGGATGGGGTGAGAGATGGTGTCGAAAGCTGCACTCAGGTCGAGGAGGATGAGGATGGATATTCAACCAGAGTCTGCTGCCATGAGAAGGTCATTTGTGATTTTTATGAGGACTGTTTCTGTACTGTGATGGGGACGGAAACCAGACTGGAGTTGCTCGTAGAGACTTATAAGTGAGGTGGGAATGAAGCTGAGAGGCAACAATTTTTATCCTGTAGAAAGCAAGGTGGTCAGCCATAGAGGAGACCCCATCTCCGGAATCAGTGACTGAATTAAAAGCCTACTTGGGCTTATTGAATTATTACAATAAATATTTGTCTAATTTGGCCATGTCCCTTACACTATTTGTTATAAAAGGATGTGAAATGGGCCTGGGGCAAATAACAGGAAACCGCTTTCCAGAAATCGAAATGTGGCCAAGGTTCTATATGGCAAATGCAGATTTAGTATTATCGTGTGATGCATCCCCATACGGCATAGGGGCAGTGCCATCACAACGTACAAGAGACGGATGGCTGTGAAAAGCCTCTAGGGTTCATGTCACGCACGCTGACACCTGCAGAAAAGAACTACTCCCAGCTTGACAAGGAGGCCTTGGCAATAATGTTTGGGATCAAGCGATTCCACAAGTATGTTTACGGTCGATCGTTCACCATTTGCACTGACCACAAGCCCTTGATCTCTTTTCCATTAGAAGATACCAGAGCCACAGATGGGGTCACCGAGAGTGCAGAGGTGGGCTGTTCTCTTGAGAGCCTATGAATGCAAGATTGTCTACAAGGAGCATGTAAATGCAGATGCTCTCAGCAGACTGCCGCGGCTGCAGTTCAAGCAGGACAAAGAGGCTGACCAAGTGCACAAGATGGAAGTGATGGATGCTCCACCTATCTCATCTGCACAGGTGAAGCAGTGGACTGCAAAGGATTTGATACTCTCTCAGGTACATCGCTGGTGCCTGGCAGGGTGGCCAACAGAGATAGGTCCGGCATTCCATCCTTACAGTCAAAGAAGGCTGAAGTTGAGTGTCAAGGATAGTTGTGTGACTTGGTGCGCCAGGGTGGTCATTCCGGAAAGAGTATAAATACTCTTTACATATTTTACATGCTGGTACCCATTTACACTGACACAAAAATTCCTAGTGGGGGGTAGCCAACCCTCCTTCGCGGTTTTTCACTTATCGCGGCACGGTCCCGGTCCCCATTAACCGTGATAATTGAGGGATCACTGTAATCACAATTGGGGGCTTGATATCTTGCTAAACGGTATTTTGACATTTTCACTCGAGAGCTGGGGAACAAACCCCCAACGGGTGGGTTTAGATCCGATGCTGCCCCATGTGCAAAAGTTGTCTTTGGAATCACAGTGGTTGTCACTTTGATACAGACCAATGTGAAAGAACTTTGAAGAGAAAGACAAACAAGAGCAATGTTTACGACACATGTAGTTATCACCAATTAGAAACATTGTGCATTAGGTTGCACACAGAATATTCCTAACCTTCCACAGTTGCAGCTCTGTGTTGTATTTGCTTGAGAGCCGATTCAAAAGGCGGCCAAGGTTCCTATCATTGAGAGTGTATCTGTAAAAGAAAATTAATTCGTTAATGATCAACAGAATACAGGAAGATAACAGCATGCGTTATATGGGCACTGGTCTGATAACACGGCAATTGCAGTGTATTCTGTGCTATAGAAAGTCGTAAGCCATCACATGAACCTAAGTTTCTTGTTTGGTAAAGCACATTTCAAGAGAAAAGCGTGACAGTGCAAATGAGCATAGTATGGCCTGAACCTTTTTTCTGGAACAATGAGGCACTCTGGTCATCTTTTTGGTCACTTTTATCAACACTGACTTCCCTCGCTTCCTAGGACAGTCATTTAATTTTATCTCGCGAACAGCTCTCATTTTTATGAGCAAAGACAAGGTCTTATTGCAATGGGAATTTAACGGTCTTTAATTGCTCTCAATGAAAGGTTTACTCCATCCTACTCATATGACAGTTATTTTCGGGGGGCGGGCTGGCTGGATAGCTCAGTTAGTAAGGCACCGGTTTGGCTTACGGGAGCCGGGGGTTTGAATCTCGCTTGGGGCAAAAAAAAAAAAAAAATGAGCACATAACACCATCCAGTGTGGGTCCTTGGGCAAGACCCTTCACACTTATACCTACCTCATACAATGATGAGACAATAAAATGAATGACATGCTGGCTCTGGTTGACAGAACAGTTGCACAATACTGCAGGTCCCGACATACCAACCTGTGCACAGCCTGGATTGATTACAAGAAAGCCTATAACTCGATGCCACATACATCGATCATTGAATGCTTGGAGTTGTATAAGGTGAACAGGACCCTGACTTTTTAGCAAACTCTATGAGGATGTGGAAAACCACACTTGAAGCCAATGGCAAGCCACTTACCCAAGTGTCCATCAAATGTGGCATATACCAAGGTATATGCACCTCCCCACTGCTGTTCTGCATAGGACTGAACCCCCTGAGCCAAATAATCGCAAAGACAGGCTATGGATACCGCCTCAGAAATGGAGCTATGATCGAGTCAATTCCGCTACATGGATACATAAAGCTGTATGCTAAGAGTGAAAGGGGCATTGACTCCCTGATCCACACAACCAGGATCTACAGCAGTGATATCAGGATGTCATTCGGGGTTGAGAAATGTAGTCAGGTGGTGATTAAGAGAGGCAAGGTTGTCCACACTGAAGGGGTCTCACTCCCCGAAGGAACAATAGCAGACATTGAGGACAGCTACAAGTACCTCTGTATTCCACAAGCCAATGGCAACCTCGAACTGGCAACAAGGAAAGCGGCTACGGCCAAATACCTCCAGCGGGTGAGGCAAGTCCTAAGAAGCCAGCTCAATGGCAAGAATAAGACCCGGGCAATAAACAGCTATCCCCTGCCAGTGATCAGATACCCTTCAGGAATAATAAATTGGCCAAAGGAAGAGTTTCGGACCACGGATGTTCGGACCCGAAAGCTCCTAACCATGCATGGAGGTTTCCATCCCAAATCCAGCACCCTGAGACTGTACGCAAACCGAAAGGAAAGAGGCCGGGGACTAGTGAGTGTGAGAGCCACTGTCCAGGATGAAACATCCAGCCTCCATGAATACATCAAGGAGAAGGCTCCAACGGATGACGTACTCAGAGAATGTCTCAGACAATGGGGAACAGAGGATGAGGTGCTGGAAGAGGGACCATCATGGGAGGACAAGCCCCGACACGGGATGTACCACCAGACCATAACTGAAGTGGCTCATCTCACGAAGTCCTATCATTGGCTATAGAGGGCTGGCCTGAAGGACAACACAGAGGTACTCATCCTGGCTGCTCAGGAGCAGGCCCTGAGCACCAGAGCCTTTAAGGCCCAGATATACCACACCAGACAAGACCCAAGGTGTATGTTGCGCAAAGACGCACCTGAGACGATCCAACACATAACTGCAGGGTGTAAGATGCTGGCAGGGAAAGCCTACATGGAACGCCATAACCAGGTGGCTGGCATAGTCTACCGAAACATCTGTGCGGAGTATGGACTGGGAACCCCAAGGTCAAAATGGGAAACACCTCCGAAGGTGGTGGAGAATGACAGAGTGAAGATCCTGTGGGACTTCCAAATTCAGACTGACAATATGGTAATGACGAACCAACCAGATATTGTGATCATAGATAAAGGGCAGAGGAAAGCCGTTGTAGTGGATGTAGCAGTCCCAAGTGATGGAAAACTCAGAAACAAGGAACACATGAAACTGGAGAAATACCAAGGGTTCAGAGAGGAGCTGGAGAGAGCCTGGAAGGTAAAGGTGACAGTTGTGCCTGTCGTGGTTGGAGTGCTCGGGACAGTGACCCCCAAACTGGTTTGAGTGGTTCCAACAGATCCCGTTGACCATAAATCAAAACTGAATACAGTAATCCCTTGTTTATCGCGGTTAATGGGGACCAAAACCACTCGCGATAAACGAAAATCCGCGAAGTAGTGTCCAATTAACATAAATAGGTAAAAAAAAAAAAAAAAAGTTTTTTTTTTTTTTTTAAGTCCGCAAACGGTCCGTGAGAAGCTGCAAAACAGCAGCGAGTCACATAGAGCAACATATACAGTACTGTACTCCATGTATATGTAAAAAAAAAAAAATAAAAATTTATGTTTGAAAATATCCGCGATGCACTGAACCCGCGATAAACGAACCGCGAAGTAGCGAGGGATCACTGTACAGAGATTTTCAAATCATGTTCAACCTAGATTTAATTGAATACACTACTAAGACGAGCTATTTAATGTTCAAACTGATCAACTTTATTGTTTTTTAGCAAATAATCATCAATTTAGAATTTTATGGTTGCAACAGGTTCCAAAAAAGCTGGGACTGGGTCATGTTTAACACTGTGTTACATCACCTTTTCTCTTCACAACTTTCAATAAATGTTTGGAAAGTGAGGACACTTATTGTTAAATCTTTGTTGGTGGAGTACTTTCCCTTGTTTCTTGATGTACAACTTCAGCTCCGTTGTCATATTTTACGCTTCATAATTTGCCACACATTTTCAAAGGGAGACAGGTCTGGACTGCAGGCAGGCCACCATCGTCTCTTTTACTACAAAGCCACATGGTTGTAATACGTGCAGAATGTGCTTTGGCATTATCTTGCTGAAATAAGCAGGAGCGTCCATGAAAAAGACGCTGCTTGGATGGCAGCATATGTTTCTCCAAAGCATGTAGGTACCTTTCAGCATTAACAGTGCCATCACAATGGAATTACCCATGCCATTGGCACGAACACAGCCCCATACCATCACAGATGCTGGCTTCGGAACTTTGTGTCCATAACAGTCTGGATGGTTCTTTTCTGCTTTGTCCAAACAATTTCCCAAAACAATTTCAAATTTGGGTTTGCCAGACCCCAGAATACTTCCACTTTTCATCAGTCCATTTCAGATGAGCTCGGGCCCAGAGACACAGTCAGAAGATGGATGGATGGATGGATGGATGGATGGGTGGGGTTGTATGGATGAATGGATGGATTTTGATAAATGCCATCTGTGTAACACTGACCTGTTAATCAGGTATTCCCAGTTGAGTGTGGTCCAGTCCCAGGCCATGCTCTGACCCAGTGGGTTGTAGGACACATATCTCACCAGAGTGAACAGATCCTGGTTCCTCACCACCGTTTTATTTTTAGCGGCTTCGAGGAGCCTGTTTATCAAAAGAAAGGTTTTTAGCAACTGTTTTTGATTGTACACATTACTCATGAGCGATTTTGATTCTTGAAACTAGTAAACTGCTTTGAAGTTACAGTGGTATCTCTACTTAGGAATGTCTCCTCATACGAAATTTTCAAGTTACGAAAGGCCTCAACAGGAAAATATTGCCTCTAGGTACGAAAAAAAAAATGTAAAAGATACGAAAGATAAAAATACAGTATGCTCTGCTACTCGCAGCTCAGAGTTTCCTGAACGCAACACATTTTTAGCTGTTCTGCCATTGGCTAAGAGGGATCTCTCCCGTATGTGTCTATGTGTGTTGATAGATAAATAGATATGTGTCTATTCAACATTCTCGTCATTCGCCCCTCGGACCATGAGGCGTTCTGATAGTTTTACGTCAATGTGAATCACCCTGAAAAAGTGTTCACCAGTTGGGCAATTGCCCACTATGCTGATGTTTGCCGAGAACATTTTCGAAAGATTGTTAAAAGCTGACAAAAGCAAATGTCCTTGGATCAGTTCTTTACAAAATGCCAGGCAAAAAAATGAGGAGGATGCAGTTAAACCTTAAATGACCATCATTTTTATTCTTTACTCGTTTTTTTTTTTTTTCACATTATGCATAACTCTCATTGATTGTGCTGTAATCTAATTGTAACATGTATTTGTTACATATTTTGATGCATTTTTATGCTTTCCAAAACATTTATGTCAGAATTTTGGGGGGACTTGGATTAGGGCATTTACATGGAAAACACGTCTCCACTTACAAAATGTTCTCGTTAAGAAATTTCTTCCAGAACCAATTAATTTCGTAAGTAGAGGTACCACTGTAGTTGAACATTTGTTAGGAATTTTGCGTTTATTGAATGTACAGTAACTGTAGTAATGAAATAAATAATACAGCACAGAATAGTGATGGAAACAAGCGGTATTTACTGAAAAAAAAACACACACAGCAACCCAGAAAGGACATTTTTCTTTCCAATTTAAAAGCAACCATCTTCTTAAATGACCAGACAAGACATTATTGTCTTGTGCCCTTGCGACCAATCTAAGTTTACTTGAGCGACAGTATGCTCCCAAATTCTGATCGTGATACAGTACTTCCTTCCATCTTTGGGATTGACATGTAGAAAACAAAAATAAAGATCCTGCACAGATGTTTTTTATTCACCACAAGTATCTACAGTACATCAAACAAACTGCCAATACGACAATCAAGAAGTACATTGATTTCAGAATTTACACAGTTACTGTCAATTAAATATACTGCAAACGAACCACACACAAAAAAATGTTTCTCAATTTGATCGATGAGTCAAACAGTCCGATGATGATATTCCACTTACCTCCAAAGAAGTTTTATATCCTGTACAGATGCGAGCCCATAGAGTATCTTGTCCTTCTCCTGAGCCAAGAAGGTGTTTTTGTACCTCTCAAACATAATGTTCCACTTTGCTTCAGTGCCAGAGTTCTTCATGCCATAACGATATACTAGCAACCTCAGGTTCACCGCTACATTGCTGGAAAATAAAATTTGCGTTTTATTGACTCGCAATGGCAGAGGCTTCCTGCAGACAGACAGTGTTGTCATATTGCGACAAACTTAGTTGACACAGGTTGATACAAAGTGCTGTACTCGAAATAAAAAGTCAGACGTATAAAACCTTATAAATTAGTCACATAAAAACAGTTACAAACCTAATACTTCCATTAATCCATTGGTCAAATATTTCTGACGCTTGATTCAATGTCTCCTGATCTCCCATTTGACAAGCAATGCTGAGCACTGTCTCCCGCAGTAACCTGACAGAAATAACCAATGATTACTTGACAGCATCATAAAGAGTCACACTTGTTCAAATCCAGGGATGGACCGGAACGAAAAAAAAAGGCCCTGGCATTTTTTGGCGTAGAACAACTCAAATCTTAAAATAAAAGAGTCAAACAGAACATCCTATTTTTCTAATCTCATGACAGTTAATAAAAACAACCCCAGACTTCTTTTTTTTCACCTTTAATCTTTTAACCAGCTCCCATTCTAAAGAGTGCCAATAGACACGACAGACATTCTCTGTGAGGACTTCGCAAACCACTTCAGAAGTAAAATTGCCGACATAAGATTTCACTAGTTTCAATAAACCTAGACAATTATTTTTAGCAGAGGAGACTGTTCAGGAATTAATCCTCTCTGTTAATCAGATTTGAAAGAAACAAAATAGAACGCTATTGAAGGTATTTCCTGTTTACTTTGGTTACAATCACCTGTAGTTCCACCTCACCCCCACCACTTTTAGGACCCCTCCAGAGGACATGTTTAACATCAAAAGAGTAACTGTTATCTCAAGTATCTGTGTAATATGCTGTTGAGGAGTTTGGCCTTGCTGTGGGTGCTGCTGGTACCAGTCTACTGAACATCTGTTTAAACACTGAAAACAAAGAATGCAGTGTTAAGTTTACATCTTCTTCCCCCTTGAGTGATTAACAGCCCCAAAGTATCTTGTTTCGTGTCCCTGAAGGCCTCAAGTTTCCCTGAGGAGGAACTCTGATCTCGAGATTTACTCACAGCAGGATAGGTCTGGACTTTGTCATCATGCCAAGATCGAATTGCATCAACCTTTCTTTGTTTCCAGGATTTGCATGGAGGCGTAACTCCCCGCCTCTCATTATCATAGTGTCTCTATATAATCTCATGACTGTGTTTTTTCTATGCTTCCTGACTGAAATCTGAAACCCTCAGAAGCCCGAATCGATTCCTATATTACAGAAAAATAAATTATACCCTTCAAGGTACTGTACATCGACTCCAGCCTGTATTTGGATCACCAACATCCTCATCGTCTGACATTAACGAACACGTGGGAGAAGAGAGAGGCCGCTCTCCCTCCCAACAAAACACTGGAGAATTTTACCCTGGTTGATGTTAGGACACTTGGTTGAGTTTTCTCCCAGGTAAATCCAAAAACCTGTCTTTTAGATCCAATTCCCACATCACTTTTAAATACATTTTATGGATTCTTTGAGCAACATGTTTTTAAATATAGTCAATGGCTCTCTTCAGACGGGTGTATTCCCTGCCACCTTTCAAACGGCGGTGGTGAAGCCGCTTTTGAAGAAGAGCAGTTTGGACCCCAGTGTTTTTAATAATTACAGACCTGTATCCAACTTACAGTTTTTAAGTAAGATTTTGGAGAAACTCGTTTCTCTCCAATTGAAGTTTTCAATCCCTCCATCCATTTTTCGATCCTCTTATCCTCACAAGGGTCGTGGGGGGTGCTGAAGCCTATCCCAGCTGTCTTTGGGCTGTAGGCGGGGGACACCCTGAACCGGTTGCCAGCCAATCGCAGGACACACATAGACGAACAACCATCCGCGCTCACACTCACACCTAGGGACAATTTAGAGCAGGGGTGCCCAACCTTTTTTGTCCCAAGGGCTACTTTTCAAGGAGCCAACCTCCGGAGATCTACCAGGCCAGTGCCAACATCTGACTCCGCCCCCCTCCCTCACACACATTAATACTAAAAGTCCCAAAGGGCAAGCCATTTGGCTTTCCTACATAGAATGCCCAAAGGGCAGCCAACTGGCTGAATGTTCTCATGCTAATGTGAAGAAAACCACCACATTCCATTTGAACAAGGTGGGGGAAGAGCCCCACCTTGCTGCATTTACAGAACAATGTTGACAAAATGGGCCATTGAGTTGTGGGTTTTAGACAACACAGTTTATGCATCTCGGGCTCCCACCATATTCCATTTGAACAAGATGGGGGAAGAGCCCCAGCTTGCTGCATTAACAGAACAATGTTGACAAAATGGGCCGTTGAGTTGTTGGTTTTAGACAACACAGCTTATACATCTAGGACAATGTTTTTCAAACCCTGTGCCGTAGCACAAATGTCAGGTGTGCTGCGGGAAAATATCCAATTTGTATGCCTGTGCGGTCTATCGCCCATAAAGTAATTGTGTATTACCCTCCCATACTGCTAGGGAGCAGCAACAGCAAGCCAATTGCTTTGTGTTTGGACTCATCACTAGACAATAAAATTTGTGACGCATGAATGCAGGACAACAGTGAAACAATAAATATGAAAGATTATAAAATACCTTTTTCTTTGTGTTCATTTGATTCCAATTCAAGCTGTTATAATGCCATTCTTCAATGTTCAAAACAGTTATAGGAACAATATAACACGTTAATTGTTGAAATAAGCTTTTTTTCACATTTCCAGCTCGTGGTGTGCCGCGAGATTTTTTCAATGAAAGTACAGTGAAACTCCTCTACAACAAAATCATGTTTGCAGCAAGACATTTTTCACAACAGGGGGTTTTTCACTGTAGTAAATTTTATCTCAGATGCACAAACACACACACACACACACACACAAAACGGATAGGTGTACTCTTTATTTTTATTCCAATACTGCACATTGTGCATAAATATAAGCATACACTTATTTGATATTGTTTAACATTAACATACAATTGTTTCACATTAATCAATCCACTTTGTCTGTTGGTTTTAAAAAATCATTTATACTCTCTTGCTTCCCATCGCTTCTCAATTTCTTGGATAATGTATTTCATTTTGCTTCCTCCATCTTTCATTCATTCATTTTCCGATCCACTTATCCTCATAAGGGTCATGGGGGGTGCTGGAGCCTATCCAACCGTCATCGGGCAGTAGGCGGGGGGCACCCTGAACAGTTGCCAGCCAATCGCAGCCGTCTTTCATTTTGACCACTTTTACCCTTGCTTTCAGCATCAGAGCTCTTCTTGTCTGAGCTGCTTGACATCCAAAAGTCCGTTTTGTAGCCATTTTAGCAATGCAAATCTTGTTGCGTCTGAAACTAGCATTAACAAATTCTTCCTGGACTACTGCGCATGTGTAAACCAGTGTGGTGGTTGCTGTTGCTTGTTTGTTTGTTTGTGTGTTTGTGTTGCACACGAATCAGCTCTGTTGTCTTGACTGTCTCCCGGGTCCCCGGGTTTCGTGACGTCTGGGCAGTCAGGTCGGGCTTTCTATCTTTCCCAGAGTTTGAGGGCCAGTCCCGGGTCGGAGGTCAGGATATCTGATGGCACTTTCTCGGTTGTCCTGTGAATGCTTGGGCAACTCTGCATCACGTGTTCGTCTGTTTCGTCCCCAAATCCACATTTTCTGCAGACAGAGTCCTCTGCTCATACGATTTTGTGGAGCCAATATTTCAGCTCCGAGTGGTGTCCGCTGCGAAGTCGGCTTAAGGTCGTTTGCTCCAGTCTTGATAATGCTGATTCTCTATTGGTCGATACCTTCTCTCCTCTCTCCCCATACACCTGCCTCAACCTAATGTGTTGGATGGGCGGGCCTTTGGTAGCTCGTCTGATGGCTGCCTTAGCAGTGTCATAGTGGATGTAGACTTCGGCCTGCTCAAGGGTCATGCCTTCCTTGGCGGCTTGGTCGGCTAGTTCGTTCCTTGGGATACCACAGTGGCTGGGGCACCAAGTGAAAGTGATGCAGCAACCACGTTGGTGCAGTTTCGCCAGGGTTTGGAGGATTTCAGCTTCGTCCCTGTTGAGAGAGACGGTGGATGGATGGAGGTTTTGGAGTTTCAGGATACACGACTGGCTATCGGTCACTAGGGGAACTTCTTTCCAATCCGGTTGCTGAAGCACAAGTTGAAGAGCTGTGTTAATCGCTTTCTCTTCCCCCTGGAATGAAGAACTCCATCTACCGGCCGGATATGCCAAGGAATGGTGGACCGTTGGATCACTTGGTGGGCCAGTTATGGTTATTACGCCACTTCCGCCTGTAGTGGTACCTTCCTGCGCCGAGCCGTCTGTGTAGAGTGTGACGTCAAAGCCTTCCTGGTTCTCCTCTAAGCGCGCAAGATGGAATTCTTCTTTTGAAAGTCTTGGTCAAATTGGTGGTAGCCAAGGTCTAGCCATGGTGGCAGCAGGCCTGGCTTTGTGGCAGGTTCTCCTTCTCCGAAGATATTTCCCCACACCTGTTTCGCCTTTGCTCTCCAGCTCGCCTTCTTTTTTCATTGTCGTACTGTCTTTACTGCGGTCTCATGTCTCGGGTTCTGTTGGTCACTCCTCAATGACTTTTCCATGGCGATGACAGAAAGCTGGGTTGCCCGGGTCTTGATGGAAGGGAGGTTGGCCTCAGCCAGGATTGCCTCCGTTGGAGTGGTCTGGAGTTGCCCGGTTATTGCACGACCAGCGTATCTTTGACAGGCTTCGAGCTTGTCCATCGTTGTTTTGGAGATCCATGGAAGCCATGCTGCACCGGCGTACTCTATTTGTGAGCGACCTGTGGCGATGTAGGTGGACCTCAGAGTTGAGTTGTCATAACCCCAGTCTGTTGACGCTAACCCTCTCAAAGCTCTAGCTTGCCATTTTAGCTTGTTGCCTACCGCTGAGGCGTGCTGGTTAAAGGTCAGCTGTCGATCATAGGTCACACCAAGGAACTTGGGGTTGGGGTTGTAGCGGATTAGCATGCCATCTAACATCAGTTTTGGACTCCACTCCGCTTCATGTGAGTTGGTGCTGAAGAAGCTGCATTCGGACTTTTGGGCTGAGAGTGTCATCTTCCATTTCGCACTCCAGTTTCAGACTGCATCAATCGCCTTCTGGAGTTTCTCCTCTGCCACCGAAACAACTTTATCCTGGACCCAGATAGCCACGTCGTCTGCAAACATGCTGACTTGAGGATCCCTGGCTCCAGTGTCGAGATCATTGATGTAGAACAGGAACAGCAGCGGCGAAAGAACAGACCCCTGTGGCACGCCTTCTTTAAAGTTCTTCTTTTTACTCGTCTCTCCTTCGAATGTCACCCAGTTGATCCTGTTGGAGAGCCAGGCCTGGACCCATCTTACCGTGTGCGCTGGCACACCACTTTTCCACATCTTGAAGAGGAGGGCGTCTCACCAGACTCTGTCGTAGGCCTTCGAGTAATCGATTAGAGCTAAGACTGTCCGCTGCATTGGGTTGCATTGGAAGCCATCACTTATTGACTGCGACAGGCGTAGAACTTGATCTTCCGTGCTTCTTCCAGGTCTAAAGCCAACTTGCGATTCTGACAGTAGGTGCTGAGTTTCGGCAAGGAAGCGGAGTCGGTTTGTGACCAGCCTCTCCATCACCTTTCCTACTACCGACGTCAAAGAGATCGGATGGTAGCTATCCATCTTCATCGGGTCCTTCCCGGCTTTCGGAACTGGTCGGATGTCTGCTGCCCTCCATTCTTGTGGGATCTGAAGTGATAACCATGAGAGATTGAACATTCTGGTGAGCAGCAGCAGTGCAGATGTCCCCAAATTGTGGAGAAAACGGGGTGGATGCGATCTGGTCCCACCGCTTTCGTTGGGTTCAGGCTTCGCGGTGCTGCCTTTACCTCGTTGGTGTTGAAGGCCTGTTCCGCTTCCGACGTTCGGTTGTCTGATCTGAGGTTGGAGTTCAGTACCTTCTTCATACCCCTCTCTCCTTTCAGCAGTTTGATTGAACTGACCGATTGGTACATTCTCACGAAGGCATTGGCTTTCTGTTTAGGGCTCACGTAGTTCTTGCCGTCTTCGCAGATCACCCTTGAGGGATCACTGGTCTTTGTCGATGTTAGACTCTGGAAGACTTTCCACATTTCGCTCTTGCCCTTTGCATTCAGGACCTTCTCCTTCCAGATATCAGACTTCCTTTCCTTCACTGCACTCTTCAGCCTTTGGTCCGTTTCTCTGAATTGCGGAGAATGAATCCCTTCCGTTTCTCTCAGACGGTCTCTCTCTCTCTCTCTCTCAAGGGTATTGATTTCCCTTGTTTTCCAGCAATCACCTGTCATTCCTACGGCTTTGAGACCAACATGGGTCCTTGCCGCCTTCAGGATTGCCATGGTGAAGATCTCATTCAGCTTCTTCACGCTTGTCATGGATTCATAGTTTCGCTCTCCAATAATTGTGTCTACTTCTTCCGCGAATTTCTTCAGGTCCCCCTTTCTCCAGTCCCAGACTATTTTTTTTCTGGTGTCTCTGTCTTTCAGCAGGCAGGTTGATGGTGATCATAATAGGCCGGTGGTCGGATGACAGCAAATCTCTGGGCTCCCAGCCGCATTTGTCTTGGAGCGTCTCGTGCACGATGGTGGCGTCTGGGGACGAGAGCTGACCTGTGGAAGGGTCTTGTCTTGTTGGTTGCCCGTCGTTGAGAAAGACTCCGTTGCCGTCCAGCATTTGTTCGGCTAGGGCCTCTCCTCTTTCATCCGCTCTCGCTCTCTCGTCCCAGACGCTATCATGCGCATTGCTATCCGCACAGATGATTTCATTGTGTTCCAGCAGCGTTTCCAACTCATCGGTAAGGAAATTAGCTATTGGCTGTCGCTGAATGATGTCATCAAGGCGATGGCTAATTTGATTTAATTGGGGGGATGTTTTTTTCTTATCTTTTTTCTTTTGTAATTTTTATTCATTGATGTTTTTATAGTTTATTTTAGAAAAAGAAAAGTTTTACATTAACATCCAGCCCAGATTGTAAACCCGGCAGGATCAGCCAGCAGCGGCTTCATTTGGGGAAGGGGCCATAACAGCATTGGCGCTGCTCATTGAGAACACCGTGCTTTCGCCACACAGACTCCAAAAGTCTCCAATAACACCAGAAAAAGTCGCTAGATTGTCACAAGTCACATTTTTGAAAAAAAAGAGTTGCTCGAGAGGGTCTGAATACTCACTAAGTATAGCGTCAAAGTCGCTAAGTTGGCAACACTGACTTCCTGTCATGACATTTAAAAAAAAAAAATAATAATAATTTTCCTCCACACCTCGCGGTCGACTCGGGATCAGTCCGCAGTCGACTGGTTGGGCACCCCTGATTTAGAGTGTTCAATCAGCCTGACATGCATGTTTTTGGAATGTGGGAGGAAACCAGTACCTCTACACTGTGAGGTCGACGTTCTAACCCCTGGACCACTGGGCAACCCACATACAAATTATATTTTAGAGAAATATCAGTCTGGTTTCAGGATGAACCATGGTACAGAGACAGCTCTTTTAAGAATGTTAAATAATACCATTTGTAATGCAAATTTGAAAAAACTCACAGTCTTGCTGCGACTGGATCAAAGTGCTGCTTTTGAAACAGTAGCTCACAACATTTTAAACCTGGTGGGCATCTCTGGTACTGATTTTAACTGGTTTCATTCTTCTGGGTCATCAGGGTTTGTATGCATCTTTTGTATGTTTGTGTGCATTGTGTGTGTGTGTGTGTGTGTGTGTGTGTGTGTGTGTGTGTGTGTGTGTGTGTGTGTGAGAGAGCATTGACTTGCTAGTGATATACATCTGTGTATGTTGGTGCGGCGGGGGGGTCTGTTTTTTATGTTGTAATTTAAAAATTTTTAACCGCACAGCACTTTTGAGTTTTTGACTCGAGATGCGCAATTGGTGCTAGTGCTATTTGATTCAAATAAGCGTTTCTGTCAAATAAGCGTTGCTTAAGGGCAGTTTGACGTTCCTGCTCACTCTGTTTGAATGGCCTGCAATGTTTGTAGTAGCAACTCGTCTCATCTGTGATTTTTGCACATTTTTCAGCACCTCAGATGACATTCTTCAGTTTTTCATGAAACTTCCACACCACTACATTTGTTTTTCATTTTTCGCATGTCAGAACAACACGCTTCTCGCTCTCTGCATAAGGGTGAGCAGCCGTAGTGACAGTGGAAGTGGTGGGGCTGCTGTCATCCTTTTTCTGGATTGGTTCAGTCTTATTCCTTGAGTGTTCTACATACTTGGCCAATAAAGACGATTGTGATTACGATATGAAAAAGTGAGCAATGGGCCGCATCTCTACATTTCTGAGGAGGTTGGGCCGTCTTTGTCCTATATCCTGATTGGTTCAATTCACTGCCTAAAAAACGATGCACGAATGGGTTGCCCCCACTCAATTGCGGTTCAGCCACAAAAGGAAGAAAAATTGGCCCAAGGGGACTGCCTGCCCACCAGGCATCAGCCCGATGTACCCGATGGCCAGTCATAATGTTACTACTGAATATGATGAAATAATTGTAATATGATTGCTGAGCTTGCCAAACCTCTCTGTCTGGGCTCCGTCATCATTCCATCCAAGTGTTGATGAAATTGCTTTGACATGATCACGGAACAGTTTCTGTAGGGGAGGGGAGGGGGGGTGAAGACAGATGAGTCAGTAAGAATGGTCATAGGCATACCTGCCAAGTGCCAATGCAACATTTGATTTGTTGATGCTATAAGCTGTCCATATGTCAATAAAAACTTTATGGATCCTTTTTCCATATGATTTGACCAATCATGGTAAAGCCCCAAAAATATTTATAATTCAGCAGTTTCGTTTTGGTTTTTTTTTTTTGGTTAAGTGTAGATCTCTTCCATGCTGACCCTTAAACCTATTTTCAAAAATTTGATTGGTGATTTAAAGTTTTAGCCCATAATAGTAAAGGTTCAATGGCTGCGCTTCCACCTCCTTTTCCACTTCCTCTGCCTTCTCCACTGTCGGTTACTACGCAAGTGGCAGTGCACCATTAGACCTCTGGCTGTTAGCGGATTAGCTTTCAGAGGCTAGAAAAAAAAACGTTCCCGAGTTGCAATAGTGTTTGTTCGACTGACATACTGTGTAGTAAATAAATCGTAAGCTCTGGTTCACGATTAGATGCTAATTTGCTGTGGATATTATAAGGGCCCGAGGTCCAAATTGTTTTTGTAGAATGTATTTATTTATTTTGCACACTGCTTTGCATTTTTCAGGGCCCAAACATGCACAAAACTTACCAAACATTACACACACATTAGGCATGGGGAAAATGTTTATATTTTTAAGTTGTCAAGCACATTTACAAAAAAATGGCTGTGGAGCATCACCTAGAGCAGTGGTTCTCAAATCGTGGGACTGACATGGTCAGTCAAAAAATATTTCTAGTTAAATTAAGGATTTAATTTTACTTTTGAATTTCAGATGCACTTTAACTCTTTTCTGTTATAGTTAATAAAGCTATTCTTTGTTGCAAGTTGGTCCATATTTCTTTTTTTATTCTCTTATACGTTAATAAGGATACAGTGTTATGCAGAGGTGTACTTACAACAATTTAATAGACAAATGATACTCCAGGTATCTATAGTCACAAGGGGGGGCGCGAGATGTTTTCTTCTTCTTGGGCGCGGGGGGGCTGACAGAAAATAATTGAGAACCACTGACCTAGAGTGAATAATGTAATTTTTAGAGAGCTAAATGTACATTTTTTGTCTTGATAAGTTAAAAAAAAAAAAAAAAAAAAACTTGATCTTCGCTCCAATATACAGTATGTTGTGCTGGGTAAGATTTTCTGACTTAACTTTTGACTTGCTTGAACAAAGTAATGACTTTTTTTTTTTAAATAAAAATACAATAAAAACTAAATTCACGTTTAAAATTCTGTGGGAATGATTCATGTGTTCATTTTTTTACTTTTTACAATACTGATGTCCAAGTGTACCAAAGCAAAAGTTTAAAGCGGAACGCTTCGAATGAATGCACATACATCTTTTTACACAAAACCGATGTTCCTCTTCAGATCAGAATTGGTTACACCCCAACTCGACCCCAAAACTCGAATGAGCATCGTCAGAATACGTGTTGCAAATAAGGAATCTTCATTTGAGACACGTAACGTTCAAGACATTGTGGCATTCCAAGTTTGAAAATGGTTACTTGAGAACTTATTTTTTCCCCTTAGAAAAGATTACCATTCGAATGATAGCAACTGTCAAGACTTCAAATGCTCATCGCAGTTTAAGGACATTTGTCAGGGCATGTTTTTACTGCTATAGATAGAATTTGATGGGCATATATTCCTGAAGAAATGCAAATGAGTTTTTCTGTTGACCCACCTGAAATTTTGGATAGAGCACAGCATTGCCTGACAGCATGTCCCGAACATAGGCGATAGAGGCGGCCACCCGGTCCCACACAATGTACTCGGTCTCATTTTTTAGGTACATGGTAAGGTTGAAGGCATGGCCGTAATCTATTATGTCTGCCCTGAACAATGGGTTCAAATTCACATTTTACTCCACACATTTTGTGAACACGTTTGGACTGTGTCGTTTTGTCTCATGCCTTACCTTGATAGAGCAAACACATCGTCAATGTAGCTTGTGCGATCAGCTGCATTAAACTCCTGTTGAAGAAGGAAAACATGTCATGAGCTTTCTTTTTGTTGAGATTAACCATTTCCAAGTTGCCTTTTATTTTTAAAAATCTGGAAAAGTCTTTGTCAGATGAACATAGCAACAGGGAGTTTTTTCAGTCAGGTTTTGAGATTATCGAGAGTAGCATTTTCGATTAAAAAAAGTATATCAATGTATTTTTAAATCGAATATGGAATTATGATGATAGACGATAACGTATATCTCGATATAGTTCAAATTTGTGCTGTGATCCTTGCCCTGCTGTGCTCCTGACTGGGAGCCCTCTGCAGTCTACAGTGCCCTGCGCGCCGCCGCCCATCTTGTTTCATGCACAGAGGGGTAAGGGGCCGGAAGAGACACTTGGGCACTCGTCAAAAAGCATGAAGGAACCAATGATGGCACCGGAGAGGACAGAGGAAGAATTGACACCGCTTACTTACTCGAGAGTGAAGTTGCTAAGCAGTAGGGAGTCCACGCTCTGACTTTTTAGACAAGCACACGCAAACCCACAAGGTTTTTCGGAGTTAATAGCGAGCGTAGCAGCTGCACTGTACGGAACATGGAAACGCCGCCAGAAGAGGGGGAAGCTAGCCGGCGCACTAATCAACCTATGTCAGCATAGCTTTAGAACCCCGCTCCCATCGATCCATCTTGCTCATCTACGTTCTCTGCCAAACAAGATGGATGAACTTCTTCTTCTCACAAGGACCGATTTTGTCCATTCCGCCACGCTCTGCTTCACCGAAACCTGGCTCAGCGACTGCTACCCAAACGGCGCGCTGCACATACTTCAGCCTCCTCCGAGCCGATCATGTCAAGGACCTATCAGAGAAATCAAAATGTGGTTGAGTATGCTTCGATATCAACGAACAATGGAGGACTGATGTCATGAACGTCAGCGCACATTGCAGACCGGACTTGGAGTTGCTGTTTCCAAACTGTGAGGCTTACAGAAGGGCTTACAGTGTAAGCCCTTCGACTCACCATGCGAGTTCTCCTCCTTCATACTCGCAGGTGTTTACATCCCACCGCAACCTAACGCGAACGCGCTACAAATGCTGGCTGACCAAGTAAACAAACTCAAGCTGAAGCATCCAAAGTCACGCTTGATCATTTTGGGTGATTTTAAAAGAGCACAACTTAACCATGAACTTCCCAGATATAAGCAGTACGTTGATTGGTTCACCAGAGAAGGCAACATTCTAGACCACGGGTGCCCATCTTTTTTTGACTGAAGATCTACTTTTCGATCAACCAACCTCGATCTACCAGTTACCGCACACGCACGCATGCCATGATGAGCAACAGCCATAACGGCCCCTATGATGAACGAAACAGAAACATAAAGTAGACACAAGTGTTTGCGGGTTTGTGAAAAGGAAAAAAAAATGCCTCCCTTTAACCTGACGCGGAGGCATGGGACGCACTTTTGCAGTGTGTTAACTATCGTAGCTCACGTGTATCCAGTGGCGGGCCCTCAGGGCCAGCAAGGCCTTCTCTGCTGGCCTAAAGATTCTCAGAAAAGTAAATTTACTTTTCTGACAATAACATTAATTTGTTATTTTATTTTCATAAATATGTAAACAAAATTATTCTCTGTATTCTTCACGTCATATTATTTCCACTTAGTCGAGTGGCTTTCAATGTTATTTAAAATAACATTGAAAGCCACTCGATAAATAACTTATTTATTATGGTAGAGTTTTTAACCAATCATATTTCAGCTAGCTTGTGTTGCCAGGTAAATTGAACTTGCTCGGGGCCTTCAGATTAAACAGAGCAGGCCCCTGTGCGCTGTAAGTGAACGGGCACAGTCAGGTTTCAATAGCACAT